TTTTAAGGCTTTTTAGGAAGCCATTCCTCCTAATACTTTCCAAAGTTGTGATGACTCATTCCGGAAGCAAGAAAATACACAAAAGACCTGTACGCACTGAATACTAAGTTTCCAGTTTTGCCCCATTCATAGGCTCATATACTCTCAGCTGAAAGGAATAATGACTCTAAGTTTTCTCTAAAAAAATGACTAAAATTGAAAAATTAAAAAAGAGTTTTCTCTCAAGAGCAGCTACATTTATAAATCTTAGCATCCATTTCCATTCTAAAGTTGCATGAAAGCATAGTATAAAGAGAATTGGAACTCTTGTTTTGCTTAATATTTATTTAACAGTTGAGATAAAGTATATTCTTGCTAATTCAACAATAGATAATAATTTAATTTTGGTGTCAAAATGATAAACCCACAAATAGTATGTTATTTAGTAAGTAATGAAACCTAGTTAACTGTGAGAGCTGTGTAACATGGGAAGAGCTACATGGTGCTGGAAGATGAAGAGAGTCGGCCTCAACTTTGCTAACATTCATTTTGAACTAATACATTGAAAGGACAAACTAACTTGATATTTGGCATTAGAAATACCAAACTGTAAAAGTAAAACTTGATTTTTACCTGCTCCTATAGTTTTGCTGTCTGCTGGAGAACAACTATTGCAAATGTAAAATGGTTATCTGAATACAGAACTATCCCAGCTGCAATAACACACCTAGAATGTTATATACTGCAGTGTGGGGAGCTTGAATTTTGGCACTGCAAAGACCTAGGTTCAAATCCCAGCTGTGGCACTTCTGAGCTGCATGCCACAAACAACATAATCCCCGAGTTTGATCCCCTGGTCTGCCTTGTGATGATGGTCGTAAAGTAGCATACACCTACCTCATAAAACTGAGATTAAGCAAGATAAACAACTGTAAATGTGATTCATTTTCCCTCTTATTTCTTCATTTTATAGGTAAGAGAATACTGAGGCACAGAAATGAGGTTTTTTTTTTTTTTTTTTTACCAAAAGCACAGTAATTTACAGAGAAAGTTGAAACTAGGCTTAAAATATTCTTGATTTAAGGATGCAAATGTGGGAAATGATGTACTAAAGACCAGTAGATCCGCTGAGAAGGATGTTAATTTAATAAGTGCCACCTTCCCTGGTGGCTCAAATGGTAAAGAATCCGCCTGCAATGCGGGAGACTTAGGTTGGATCCCTGGGTTGGGAAGATCCCCTGGAGAAGGAAATGGCAACCCACTGCAGTTATTCTTGCCTGGAGAATCCCCATGGACAGAGGAGCCTCGCAGGCTGCAGACCACAGGGTCGCAAAGCGTCCAACACGACTGAGCGACTAAGCACACACATCTTGTAGCTAAAATGCCATTAGAAGTGTAGACAAGTGTAATTCATGGGGTTAAAAATTTAACATATTTATATAATACTTTATGCTTTATAAAGTGCTATGACTAATATAACTTAATCTGACCACAACAGCCTTGTCTTTTAAAGACCCATTTTTGTTTTAGTTATAGGAGTAATATTTCATAAACTAAGAAATCTCAGAAAAAATAAATTACTCTAGGTGTGAATAAAGAAAACTCAGGAATAAGCAATGATTTTGCTAATAGTTTCTCAACTTTTAATAAAAACCCGTTTCTCTTAACTATATATACCATACATATGTTAAATTAGAGGTTTAAAAAGTAGCTACTGACACTTTGCTAGGAAGAAAAAGGTTGCTTGGATTTGTTGCAAAAAATATAGATAAGGAACTTCCCTGGTTGTCCAGTGGCTAAAAGTCCAAGCTCCCAGTACACGGTTCAAACCCTGGTCAGGGAACTTCTAGATCCCACATGCCGCAATTAAGAGTTTGCATGCTGAGACTACAGATACTGCTTGCTGCAATGAAGATCAAAGATCCCATGCGCTGCAGCTAACAGTGGCACTGACAAAAAAAAAAAAATTGATAAGTGATAAAATGTCAGAGTAAATTTTATATGATCAAAGAAATAAAAGATTGCTACTAATAGAGACTAATGGTTTTTCAAAATACATTTTTATACCTTAGATTTCTTTCTTTTTTTTTTTTTTTTCATGGTTACCAGCACTTTATTTTTTTTTTTTTGTATTCCCAGATCTATGTATACCTTAGATTTCAATTAAACAGTGTCTTCAATATTACACATAGCCAAACCATGCTTTCCTTAAAACCCAGCTGTTCCCTTCTCTTGAAATCAATAGATGCTAGAAAACAAACTTTAAAAATCCACAAAAGTATTTTAAATGATTTTAATAGAAGATTGCTGCACTTCCCATTTATAAAAAGTCAACATGTTTCCTGAAACATAGCATTTGCTGTACGTAACTTATCAGAAACTTAACCATTTGTACACTGGTGATGAGGGCCATGGAATATTCTGTTTTGGACAGGGAAACTGCATCATGGTTGCTGCATTACTTGACAGCACACACCCACCCCACCTGTTCATAATGCTGTTACTGTTTAGTCACTAAGTCATGTCCGACTTTGCAACCCCATGGACTGCAGCACACCAGGCTTCCCTGTCTCCTAGAGCTTGCTCAAACTCATGTCCATTGAGTCAGTGATGCCATCCAACTATCTCATCCTCTGTCAGCCCCTTTTCCTCCTGCCCTCAATTCTTCCCAGCATCAGGGTCTTTTCCAATGAGTTGGCTCGTGCATCAGGTGGCCAAAGTGTTGGAGCTTTAGCATCAGCTCTTACAATGAATATTCAGGGTTGATTTCCTTTAGGAAATATTTGTAACATCCCATCGCAAATGAACATGTCGAATATTCTTAAGTTCTCCGTTCGTTAAAGCCCCTGACCTGGCAGAAAATCTAATCAATGGATCTTATATATTGTGGCCAAATTAACTTGAAAGTGATTCTGCACTGTTACTTCCTTTTCCAAAAGTCAACAAGTTTCCTATTAATAGCGTCACATTTAAAATAATGGCTAATTCTTACCTGCAACACACTTCATTCTTTTATTTCATCACTTCACTTGATCATGATGCAATGTGTAATGAGGACAAATTTTCCTTGAAAACTAAGAATGGTTATTTTTATTTTTCTCCCACACTGTCAGTATAATATATTAACTCACAGCACCACCTATCTTTGAATAAAGGTTAGGAAACTAGTTTTACTTTTAGCATAATGCCCAAATATCTGGCCTTTACAATTTAGTGTGAAATTAAGCCCAAAATGCCAAAAGAATAAAAAAATATCTAAAAACAGAAGTTCCATTTGACATGTACACTCAGACCAGTACATATCAATTTCTTGGCAATGTTTCAAAGGAGTCTGGCCAGCAGCATACTAAATTAGATTTTAATCTGCTACAAAATAGTCAGTGAGCAAACTGTGCCTAAATGTTAAGTACAGTTGAAGTCAGGGAGAAGCAGGGCCATTTTGACTTATCAATTCTAACACTCACTGATATTTCCATGCCCAAGTGTTAACTAGAATTTGTGTTGCCTTTTCCTTAGCAGTCTTCTCAACATTTTGGTCATTTCCCTTATTTAAATTAGAAAGGAAAAAAAAAAAAAAACCAACACAGGTATAAAGTTTCATTTTCACGTCCTGTCAGTACTATAAATAAACTTAAAATGTGAAAGATAGCCTGCTCTTACAGCACACAGTTCATTCTCTGTAACCATCCCAATCAAGGACACCATACCTCTTTCTCAAATTAGTGTTATTCTCTGACCCTTCAATAAACCTAGGCAGTATAGATATATTAGAGAAAACACTGTTAGTCAGAATGAATGAGCATCTAAACCAACAGCTGAGAACTCAAGCCATGAGAAGCAACTGATTATAGGAAAAGCTTGGCTGTGATGTCCATGAAGAATTAAAATGTCTTGAATTTATGGAGCATCTCTTCTGTGGAAGGCAGGACAGCTCTGAAAGGCAGGCGGGGCCAACTATCATCACCCACTTCACCTACGGGGAAACAGACATGACTACAGATCAGTGTGGTGACTACTTGGTCAGACGTGACTACAGAAGAGCGTTAGTCTACTGGCAAAGCAGAACTCCAGGCCAAGGGTGACTTACGGCTGCCTCATGTGCTATTCCTCAGATACAAAAATTAGAAAAAAAAAATTCAGTTAAAATGAACTGAAAATAATGTGACTTATGAAAGTTATTTTGAAAATAGCATTTGGTTACAATTTTTAGTATAACTGTTAATATGACAAAAGTTTTGAAGACTATTTTTAAAGAATGGCTGAGTAACTGAATTAAGCATCTTAGCAATTGATACAATGGGGCTCGAATTATTTTAGAAAGCTCTTCTGTTATAGCATAAGTAGTTCTTCACGTCATAGCATACAACTTATACCACAGGTAACTGGTAGTCACTGGTAAATTAAATCCATCCAATTCCAGTTACAGTTAGTTTGTCAACTGTTACAGAGTTGTTAAAAGAAGTTCTTCTAATCTTTACAAGAAGTAGTCAAACTTTCATATTACCAATGGAATAAAAAGGATAGTTCTCACTTGCTTAACAGGTCTTCTCTTCCACTCTTTCTGAAGTTTTCCATGCACATCCATTATTTTCCTAATGTCGTATTATAGGTGACCCCTGTAACAGGAGTTTGAACTGTGCACGTCCACTTAACATATGGAATTTTTTCAGTAAGTACCTACTATAGTACTACCCAATTCCCATTTGGCTGAATTCCTGGATGCAGAACCAGGGATATGAGGGTTGACTGTAAACTTAAACACCAATTTTCAACTGCATGGGCCACAATTACCTACCTTGGGTTGTTCAAGGGTTAACTGTAATTTTAAATTCCTTCTCTCCTTCTGTAGGATCTCGTTGAAGCCATTCCAGGGAAATTACTAGTCTATTTCAAGGTACTAAACTTCTGTGCCTTAACGTTTAAAATAAAATAGAAATTTTTATATTTTCTTATATTTTATTGCATAATATAAACTTGATTAAAATGTATTAACAACACATTGTGTTCAAATCAACACTAAATTAAAATGTTTGGCAGGAAATCACATGACTTATTTTAATATATTCCAACTCAGTACGAAGGTGAGCGAGCAGTTTATTTCTGAAGTTTTAGATATTTTAACTATAATTCATTATCAAAACAAATATTTTGGTCTCTTTCTTCATCTTTAATTTTTAAAAAAATTCTTCTTAAGTTCACAGTGTCATGGAAGTGTAAAATAAGATGGATAAAAACCACTTTAAAACATATGGCTTTATATACATAAAAAATTCAATAATGTTGCCACAACCCCTAATACAGTGTGATTCTTATTTATTTACTAGTATCCAGAATAAAGTTCTGTACATATTAAATTGTTCAAGTATATCTAGAGCAGTGCTTGTAAAAGTGAGGTCCCACTGCTACAATAATGGGTATCTCTTTGAAGACCACTTCTAATTCCAACACAGTTAAGGTAGAGTTCTAAAATTTTTTTATTTTACAGTTTATCATACATCCTCAAATATCCTAAAATGCTCCACTGAGCCAAACATCTAATTTAATTTACATCTAGTTTAACATCCCTTTAGTAGAGCACCAGTGGTTAAACTAAAAATGCATGTGACTAACCACATGTTTTCATCCTTCTATTAGTTACAGTTTGTTATTTACTTCCATAACATCAAACCCGAATGAAAATGAAGACAACTCAGGTCAAACTCCTTCGCCTTAAATAAATATACATTTCATCCACTTCATACTTAAATACCTAATTGTTTTCCTATAGTGTATGTTTCTCAGTAACAGCAATACAATTAACTAAGCCAAAGACCAACTTCTTATCTTTGAGGATCAGGCAAGTCGGAGAGGATTCTCCAGGTTTGCTTTAAAACTTTCCAGAAACCTGGTGGCCAGTTCGTCGTCGACCACCCGGCTGTCACTGGACATGGTGACCGTTATGAGCTGACGCTGCTGCAGCTGGGCATTCCCCTCTTCATCCTGAGTGAGCTTCAGCACAGGTCGGAATCTCCCTACAGCCAAAATGCAGGCCTGAGGAGGGTTGATCACGGCAGTAAACTCATCGATGCCAAACATCCCCAAGTTGGAAATACTAGGGGAAAACAAAAAGCTCTGAAGGCAGTATGTCTTTAACCAAAGAACCCTTTCCCCAAGTCACACATTTTTACTTTGCTGAAAAACTGTGCCCAGTTACTCAAAGACCAAAGACAAAGAATACCATTTACTATAGTATCAAAAAGAAACCAAATAACAACACACAAATACTGTATCTAATATAAACATATATTCAGCATTGAACTGTAAACCCCAGGCAGAGAAATATGGCAAGAAAAAGAAATTAAAAAAAAAAAGGAAATAGAAGAGTATAAGGGTTAGAAAAAAGAAATAAAACGTTGTTTGCAGATGAACTGACTGTGTACAAAGAAAATCTAAGCATCTACAGATAAACGAGTAAGATAAGTGAATTTAGCTAAACCACTAGATAAGTCAATGTAAAAATCTGTATCTATATACAAGCTGCTTTCATTAGAAAAAACTAAAATAATACCATTTATAATAGTATAAAAAATCTAAATCTAATAAAACATATATATGATCCCTAAACAAAAAATTACAAAACAGGGCTGAAAGAAATCAAAGAACTAAGTGAACAACGGTTTATACCATGTTCATTCACTGGAAGAGGCAATGCTATAACGGATGTCAATTCTCCCTAAACTTAAATCGATCAAACAATTCAGTGCTATCCCAACAAAATCCCAGCAAGATCACTGCCATGTGTGTATGAAAAAAGACAAGCTGATTTAAAAATTTATTTGGAAATATAAAGCCAGGAAAGACAATCTTGATGGTGAACAAAACTGGAAGACTTTCACTGTCATAGATCAAAAATTATAGTTAGCTTGTATTAAGCAAGCAAAGGACAAACAGACCAACTGAAAAGGAGATAGAATACAGAAAAGAACCAAACATGGTTACTTTCTCAATGCTATAGAGTAGTAATGGTATCAATAACTGACATTTAGTCAATTAATTATCCAGATGGGGGGAAAAAAGAGAACTTTGACCTTTACCTCCATATCACAGACAAAATCTGATTTCAGATAGACAGTAATCTACATGAGAGAAATTATAAAGCTCTGAAGATAACACAGAAGAATAAAACTTCATGACTCTGGGATAGACAATAATTCCTAGCAGGAAAAAAAAAAGTACTAACAACAAAGAAAAATACTGATAAATAGGATTTTATTAACTCAGAACTTCTGTTCATTAAAAAAACACCATCAGAAAAGTTTCAAAGGCAAGGTACAAAGTGGGAAAAGTATTTGAAACAATATATATCCTAAAAAGCCTATGTATCGGGGAAAAAGAAACTCCTATAAAAATTTTAAAAAACAGTCACAAACTTCAGCAGGTGTTTTACCTGATAAGTAACCAGATACCCAAATGGCTGACAGATAAATGAAGACAGTATTCAACATCATTAATTTTCATTTCCCTTGGGCTTCCCAGGTGGTGTCAGTGGTAAAGAACCTGCCTGCCAAAGCAGGAGATCTATGAGACACAGGTTTGATCCCTGGGTCGGGAAGATTCCCTGGAGGAGGACATGGCAACCCACTCCAGTATTCTTGCCTGGAGAATCCCTTGGACAGAGGAGCCTGGTGGGCTACAACCCCAAGACTCACTAAAACCTAATAATACCAAGAGTTAACAAGAATACGAAGCAACAAAAATTCTCATACACTGTTGATGGAAGCAAAAAATGGTAGAACCATTTTGAAAAGTTATCTGGCAGAATCTAGTAAAGATACAAACCCAGCAATTCTACTTTCAGGTTTACAAAAAAAAAATACATACATATAACCACAATAAGACACTGATAAGAATGTTCATGGCATCAGCAACAGCATTTGTAAGAGCACTAAACTGTAAACAACACAAATGCCCACCAATAGTGAAATGGACACTTGAGTATTTATACAGAATACTACAAAATGCTACAGTGCAATAATAAGTAAATGACTTTAACAGACATTAATGCTGAATGAAAGAAGTCAGACACTGAAGAATATGTATTTATATAAAGATCAAAGTTGGCAAAACAAAAACATTGGTAATAACTTTCAGAATTGTGGTTACCCTCTAGAGGGTCAGAATTAGGAGGGATAAAGGGAGGCTTATGACATGGAAGTAATGTTCATAGTCTCGCTTTGGTCGGTTACACAGATTTCTTCACTTTGTAAAACATTCCAGCTATATTCAGTGTACTTTACTGTATGTATGTTACACTTAAGCAAGAATAGAGCTGATGATAACTCAAGAGTCACAGTGTTAACATTTTACCCGGAGGGACCTAACCCCAAGGGACCTTAAAATAAATCACGAATAGAAAAAAAATAGTTGAGGTTTATAAACCTACTTACTATATGTCAGAACCTGAATGTCATTCTATGAACATCTGAATGGGCTAACCAGTTAACCCTAATGGCTTTATACTAGCTTTGATACGAAAGCTTAACTAGTCTGAAGAACATTTTCACATATTCTCTTGTCTAAAGTATGATATTTAGCTTAAATTTTAAAAAAAGTTTCAGAAAATAAAACAGGTTGACAAGTACTTTATAAATCTTATGTCTGTTTCATGCTGCCAATAATTCAGAGTTTAAATTTTACCTAAAAGATCCTCCTTGATATTCTTCAGGTAACAATTTTCCATCTCTGGCTTTCTTTGATAGAGCCTGAGAAAAATATAAACAGAGCATGATAACCAACACTACATTATATAGCTGATTTTGTCACTTTAAATAGTTTTATAGGGTACACTCTCATCTTTGATAGGCCTTGACTTTATAAGAGAGTATACATACATATGCATGTACATACACATTTTAAAATTATATATGTGTAATTTTCTCTAACACACTTAAAAATGAGTAAGTTAGAGCACAGTTAATCCAAGAAGCTATAAATATGTGAATCAAAACTCTAGAAAAATCATCTCCGTTTAAAAACTCTTCAAATACTGGAATTATCTTGTATACTATGCAGAATGTTTCACTGTTCTTTATACATACAATGCAATTTTCTGCTTTGCCTATGAACTTTTTTCTTGCAAGAAAAAGTATTAGAAGAGCCCTTTTTGTTAATCTAGTACCTTTTAAATAAAGTATTCAATGGCAACAATCTCAGAACCAGCACATCAATTTTCATCTTTCAGCATTTGTTTCTCTTTTACCCATAACAGACTAATTTCAAATAGTTGTTAAAAAAAACAAAACAGAATTTTATATTTACTTCACAATATTATAAGCAGCTTCAGTGTTGTTACTCTTTATAACTGATTTTTTAAATGTCTGTTTAACATTCTAAAGATTGCATCTGTCACAATTCAGTCATTTTCCTAGTCAGATAATTTGGTTAATTTGTTTCTTTTGAATTATTTCATATGATTTCTCAGAAGTGGAATTACAAAGCCCTAGAAAATGGACTTTTTGTTGTTGTTTTTGATCCTATAGCTAAAGCATTTCCGGAATGAGCTAGTCTATTCTATGCTGCTACAAGGGATGTAAAAATGTAGTCATTTCACATCACCCTAAACCTGATGTCTAAAAACTTACAGAGGGAAAGACAGATAATACTCTGAGAGCGAAAAGCAGTTGAATTTTCCTCTACTTGTACTTGCAATTGATCATACTTCTCTTAATTTTTATTTTTCAATGCTTCAAAAGCAAGAGGACATAGACTGAATCATTGTATATGAATAATAAAGAATTATTTTAGAGAGTAGGGATAAATGAAGCTATTGTCATTGGGTAGATGATACAAATCTAGGGCTTATTCAATATGATATTCAATATAGATAACAAAGGTATATTTACAATTACCACTGATAACTATTTAATTTTAAATCATAGATGATTCAATTTTTGAAAAATAAAACATTCTTTAAAAATCTAAAAATGATCTCATTGTGACTTACTGCCAAATGCATCAATTACAGATTTATGTTACTAGCATACAGTTACTTACAAAACTATATAGATCCGGAATGAAAAATTAAGAGATGAATTTAGACTTGTACTTGGAATATCAAAAATAGAACAATCTTTCCCTGCCTTAAGCAATATAACTTCACATGATCTGAACAACAAGCACATATCATATGAACTTTAAAAGCTTTTCTCTAAAGGCACATGATCACAGCACATCCTGATGAGTTACAAGGCTAAAAGAAACAAAAAACATTTATTATTAAAAAAAAAAAAAGACTGCAGCATACATAATATACTTTAAAAAATCTCTATAAACCCAAAACATATCAGTAGGATATTCATGTCAATGAACTCAAGAGACAGCACGGAGTAAGGATAGATTCTGATGAGGATCACTGGTTCTAAAAGTAACTAATTCTCATTGGGATTTCCTGGTAATGTGAACTTAAAAATCAAAGCACGTGTTCCTGAACCATCAAGTTGACAGGACATAATACAAGCTAACTAGCAACTATTTCTAAAATTACCTTGTGCGTGCATGCTAATTTGCTTCAGTCATGTCTGACTCTTTGTGACCCTATAGATCGTAGCTCACCAGGCTCTTCTGTCCAAGTGGATTCTCCTAGCAAGAATACTGGAGTGGGTTGCCATGCCCTTTTTCAGGGGATCTTCCCAACTCGGATCGAACTCGTGTCTGCTGCATTGCAGGAGGATTCTTTACTGCTAAGCCACCAGGGAAGCCCAAAATATATCACATGCCTTACTAACTCATTCAAAAAATTTACTGGCTGCTAATGAGGTGAACTTTGCTTCTGTCTCTTAAAACTATTGTAATTAATGAAGAATAGCATGGAATTTAAGCCGTGTTACTGTATTACTTTATTTAGGAAATGTAAACTGAACTTTGCTGAGGCAGGCCTTCAGTCCCACACACTGACAACCTTGCGATTCTTAAGCATCAAGAAGTACTTAGAGCAGGCATTCTTAACTTGGAGTCTATGGGTAGATAGTCACAGTCTAACAAATTCCTTGAAAAACTACTTCCAACGGAATAGTTTTTATTGAAAACTTTAAAAAAAATAAATTCACTGAGCAACTATTATCTTCTAAGCACCATCCAGAATTAGATATACGGCAATGAACAAGATAGTCAACATCAGAGTGTCCGGAACATACAGGGGTCGACAAATAAATAAACAAGGTAAATTCAAAGACTTGTAAACCATACAAAGACAATAAACAGGGTAACTATTTAGGAACCTACTTTAGCTATGGAAGCCACAGAAGGCCTAAGAAAGTGGCATTTGAACTGAGAAATGCCTGGCTTTAAACAAACAACTTCTAGTGCTTTCTAGATGCAACACTGTGGGCAAATTTCTTAAAGTCTGTGCTAAATCTCAGTTTCTTCAATTTGAAGTTAAGCTTCCAACTATGATATAAAGCTATTAAGATTGAGTGAAGTGTTTAGCCTACTGTCTGGTACATTATAAGATAAGATAAGGAAGTGATAAGTCTCAGTCATGTCCGACTCTTAGAGACCCCACGGACTATATAGTCCATGAAATTCTCCAGGCCAGAATACTGGAGTGGGTAGCCTATCCCTTCTCCAGGGGATATTCCTGACCCAGGAATCAAACCGGGGTCTCCTGCACTGCAGGCAGATTCTTTACCAACTGAGCTATGAGGAAAGCCCTAGTGGAGTGTTAATCACCGACCTTGAAGTGGGAGAGAGGCAGGCAGAATGGGAAGCTCAGACAAGTAGCCAGAGCGAACAGACCCAGGAGCTGCTGGGAGTTACAGGAAATGCTCAAGGATCACCAGAAGCCCTGGGATACTCCCGAGGGCTGAGAGGGCCCTTCCCACTGCTGGGAGGTGAGTGACACTGCTTCCTCACCACCTCAACTTAGTTTCTTTTAGGATGCAAGGAACAGCGAATGCTAACATAGCTGCTTTAAGAATCATATTATAGGACTAAAATTGATAAACTGGTTAGAATCAAAGAAAGTTCCCTGTAACAGTTAATTTTTAACTCTATAAGTGGAAGTGGAGTCGCTCAGTCATGTCCGACTCTTTGCGACCCCATGGACTGTAGCCTACCAGGCTCCTCCATCCGTGGGATTTTCCAGGCAAGGGTACTGGAGTGGGTTGCCATTTCCTTCTCCAGGGGATCTTCCCGACCCAGGGATTGAACCCAGGTCTCCTGCATTGTAGACAGATGCTTTACCATCTGAGCCACCTATAGTTAAAGGAAATTCTAACTCTGTTTAATCTAATCTCATATGAACACCACAAAAACACTAAAATTACATGTATTTCACTGCTGCTGAAAACTGTTCACGAAAAAAAGGTGTGCAGCATCTAAGTAATCCAACCTTTATTACTTTAATTTTTGAATACCACCCTTCAATTTAAAAAAAGTTCCTTTTTTATATATAAAAACACTCTGCAAATCTTTCCAAAGAGGAGGGAAAAAGATCTAAGTATGCAAATTCCACTAAGGTCACCTTTAATTATATTTAACTCAAGATCCAAGACTATGCATTTTTAATTAGATTACCTTCCATTCACTGGGGCTTCACTGGTAGCTCAGCTGGTAAAGAATCCGCCTGCAATGCAGGAGACCCTCGTTCAAGCCCTGAGTTGGGAAGATCCCCGGGAGAAGGGATACACTACCCACTCCAGTATTCTTGGGCTTCCCTTGTGGCTCAGCTGGTAAAGAATCCGCCTGCAATGCAGGAGACCTATAAAATTTATTTATTTATTTATTCATCCATTTATCCTTGATAAATGGAAAAAGAATCACTTATCTATTTGAATCTGAAATTTTCAAAGGTAACACCCTCAAGCCCTGGGATACTTCTGCCAAAAATTACCCTTGGAAATTAATTGAGGCTGTCAAAGCTGACCTATTGTGTATGTTCCTGCCTATTCAATGCAGTAATTTTGGTGAGAGCTGATTCTTACATATTAGAGCCCAGGGGGAAAAAACAAAAATTTTGCTTCTGGAATACTAAGTACTTTCAGTGGTCTCAACCTTAGAGAGGAAATGAATAAACTTTTAAGAATAAAGTGCTGTGAAAAGTGAGCACTTTAATAAAAATGCAGTTTCAGCTTTAACTTTAGAATCTATCTAAAATATCATATTTAGGGTCAAATTATGGACTTGGGAAATAAAGCAGTCATCTGTAGCTTGAATGCAGCTGGCCCTAAATATGCATGTTATTTCTGAACGTTTGAATGCAAAATAATCTTAAAATGGGTTGTATCTGGATCAACTTAACAACATATATGCATAATTGATAATCATTTCTAAATACCAAAAATCTCTCTAGCTTTCTCTCTCTCTCACACACACACATACACACATACATATCTATCTCACAGTGTGACCAGATCATGTCAAGTCTTTCCCAGAAAGTAAATTCCAACATTTTGCGAGTACAGTATCGCTTAAGACCTACCTTTACAGAGTCAGCAATCTCCTGTAGACCCTTAGCAGCAGCATCTTTTATGACTGGCGTAATCAGACCTCTATCTGTTGCCACAGCCACCGAAATGTCAATACAGGGCAGTTGCTTTGCACCCTCTCCATCCCAGCTTGCATTAACACTAGGCATTTGCTAGAAGGCACAAGTAGAAAAAACATGTTATTCAAGAAGGAGCTTTAGACCAAGGTTATTAGAGAAAAATAACTAATGTTATGCATTTTTTAAAGTGAATATAGCTAGACTGAAGGAAAGAAAGAAAAATTTGATTTGAAAAAAGTGGTTTGGACTTCTATATTAAATAACTTTTATGTTTGGGAAGAATAAACACTATCTTTTTTGAAGCAAGCGTAAGGAAATTCTGATGATTTATACATGTTTTGATCTCTTTATATCATGGTTAAGAAAAAGACTTTTTTTCTTAAACCTAATGGCTAGGGAGTATTTAATATTTGTGAGCCTTCCTGCCTCAAATGATGACTGACATAGCTTAGAGGAGAAGAGAAGAGGGTAGAGGGGTAGTGACGTTCAACCGCACTATTTCTGTGGCATAAAGAAACCTGACTTCTTAGTGGAGCCCTGGGAGATATTAGCAGACCCTTAATAAATGACTTCCTATTTAAGAGAGATTTCCTAGGCTTCATTAACATACGCTACATACTATATATGGGCCTTTGCTGGTGGCTCGGGGTAAAGAATCTGCCTGCTAATGAAGGAGACATGGGTTTGATCCCTGGGTTGGGAGGATCCCCTGGAGAAGGAAATGGTAATGTAGCAACCCACTCCAGTATTCTTGCCTGGGAAATCCCATGGACAGAGGAGTCTGGCAGGCTACAGTCCATTGGGTCGCAAAGAGCCAGACATGACTTATCAACTAAAACAGCAACATATACTATATATGAGCATGTACATATTTAATATACACACAACTACACTGAGGATGAAAAAAAACAGAAGAAATTACCAAATGCCTGGAAACAGTGTGTATTGATAATATTGTCAACTATCACAAGAGAAAATGATGCTGAAAATGGATATCAACAACTAATTTCTTTTCAAAAATTCATTGCTTTCTGCCAAGTTTGATCCAAGCCTCCCAGCATGTCATTTAAAGACAGCAATCCACAATTTGATTCCACCCAATCTCTCTAATTTTATTCCTGACCACTCTCCTAAGATGAATTTTCACTTAGGTTTCTCACAGTTATGCTACACTGATTTCCATTTCATCACTGTTCAACTACTCATTTCACTTCTAAATCTTTCAAGGCTCAACTCTTTTATTCAACAATGCCACTATGTCCAAATAATAAAGTCTCAACCCCCAGAGGATTTTAAATTCTTCATAGATAATAATGAAATTAAAGAAGAAAATAAATCAAAACAAATCCTCACAAATGAAGAATGTTTGACCCCCAAAATTACAGACTACTTTAGAAGCCAAAATTATCTGGGCTTTACTACTTACTTTAAGTGTAACAGCTGCTGCCTTGATAATAAAATCGTTTACTGATACTTTAATGTCATCTGAAAGAAAAATAAGCATATGATAGTTAATATTCAAAATAAAACTTTAAAATGAATAATTATGATTTCAAACTTAAATTACGAACTGTACTGACAAACAATGGCAAAAAAAATACTACAGGTCTTTGTTTGCTTAGTCATAAGGTTTCCTTGAGTACAAAAATTTGTGTTATATGAGGTCTTGGATAAATAATATTAACCATGAATGTAAATGTTTACTCCTAGTCCTGATTACAATTCTTTTAAGTTGCTCAGATATCATACACAAGTACTTGAAAGATACATGACAACCATAATCAGAAAAAAAAAAGAATCAAGTCCTGTGTCTCTAAAAAGACAAATGGTCTGTCCACAGCATGTATAGTCAGGAAGTTTACAAGACGATTCATTTTCTTCCAAATCCTTTTCAAATGTCTGTATCCTGTGTACTCTTTATAATATACTGATTATATTGAAAAATCACCTTAAAAAAACAAGTATATATATAAACACACACACACACACACACACACACGGGCAGGGGGGTGGAGGTTTCAGAAATTTCTTTTTACTAACAAGGCATGCAATGAAAAAATTTTAAATTACTACATTAAATAAGAGCTGATTTTTAATTTAACCAAACAGGATATAGTAAATGCCAAAGACGAAGCAATGCTGGCATGGATCCTAATGCAATGAATGATATGAGGTCTCTCACTAGTTTTACGGTGAATTCAATTAAATCAATGTTCTTCCAGTATACATAATGATTTTAAGATAAAGCTGGGGTCCCCTCCGTTCCCAGAGGGTTGATCATAACAAAAGCATTGGGTTTATACCTCTGCTTTACCAGTGCGTATGAAAGTGTTGGAAAATGGAAACTATATTTGATTCTTAATTGCATGGGCTTCTAGAAAAAGACTTTAAGATCAATATCTAGTCATGGTATGTGGAGGATACACAAATCCAGTTACTATAGTATCATGGAATTTTACATGAACAACAGTTCATTCCAAAGGCATGCTAAGATTTCAGAAAGGGATTAGATGTATTACCATAAACTGAAGTACTGCCAAACTGTCACAGTAACTGTCAGCTGCTTTTCTAATACACAGCTCTTATAATTCAGATTTCCAGAAATACAGACATCTTTGTTTAAAACTCCTTTAGGAGCAGAAAAATAAATGGATTTCCAGTGCTGAGAGACTTTTATCAACTCACTGTGCTTATCTCTCATGTATCTCAGCATCCTTCCCACTTTACCTACCATTCATAGGTGTCCCCAGTGAAGACTTCCCAAATAACCTACCGGCTGATGATTTCCAAATCTAGGGCCCTAGTGGGCAGTCCTCACATGATTTCCCACCCGCATCATACTCCTATATTTCACCACTTTCTTCATCTTGAAACACGTTCTCTTTCTGGTATCTGTGTTACAGACTCTCCTGGTTTTATTCCACAATCTGCTCACTCTCTTTCAGTCAGATACCATTTATATGACAATGAGTCCTTCAAATTCTATCATAAATCCTTCCCTATCTGGAGTTTCACTCTCAAACACACACTTTCTCACATGACATTTTCACTTGTATTTCTGATAGGCATCCCAAATCTAGTATGTGGAAAGATCTTTTCCCCAAATTCCTTTCAAACATATAGAAAGGATACCATTGCTAACATTTTATTAAGAACAGAGTAGGACATAACTGGAAAATTCTTAAAGAGATGGGAATACCACACCACCTGACCTGCCTCTTGAGAAATCTGTATGCAGGTCAAGAAACAACAGTTAGAACTGGACATGGAACAACAGACTGGTTCCAAATTGGGAAAGGAGTACGTCAAGGCTGTATACTGTCACCCTGCTTATTTAACTTATTTGCAGAGCACATCATGTGAAATGCCAGACTCTTTGAAACAAAATGGAATCAAGATTGCTGGGAGGTGGAGTAGGAAATGGCAACCCATTCCAGTATTCTTGCCTGGAAAAGTCCATAGACAGAGGAGCCTGGCGGGCTGCAGTCCATGGGGTTACATGACTGAGTATGTGTGCACGAGGGTGGAGGGAGATGGGTTGGTAGCAATAAAGTGGTAGAACTAAAAAAAAAAAGAAAAAAAGATTGCTGGGAGAAATATCAATAACCTCAGATATGCAGATGACACCACCCTTAGGGCAGAAAGTGAAGAACTAAAGAGCCTCTTGATGAAAGTGAAAGAGGAGAGTGAAAAAGTTGGCTTAAAGCTCAACATTCAGAAAACTAAGATCATGGCATCTGGTCCCATCACTTCATGGGAAATAGATGGGGAGACAGTGGAAACAGTGTCAGACTTTATTTTGGGGGGCTCCAAAAATCACTGCAGATGGTGATTGCAGCCATGAAATTAAAAGACACTTACTCTTGGAAGGAAAGTTATGACAAACCTAGATAGCATATTAAAAAGCAGAGACATTACTTTGCCAATAAACGTCCATCTAGTCAAAGCTATGGTTTTTCCAGTGGTCATGTAAGGATGTGAGAGTTGGACTATAAAGAAAGCTGAGTGCCGAAGAATTCATGCTTCTGAACTGTGGTGTTGGAGAAGACTCTTGAGAGTCCCTTGGACTGCAAGGAGATCAAACCAGTCCATCCTAAAGGAAAGCAGTCCTGAATATTCATTCGAAGGACTGATGCTGAAAACTGAAACTCCAATACTTTGGCCACCTGATATGAAGAACTGATGCATTGGAAAAGACTCTGATGCTGGGAAAGGCTGAAGGCAGGAGGAGAAGAGAAAGACAAGAGGATGAGATGGTTGGATGGCATCACCAACTCAATGAACATGAGTTTGAGTAAACTCCAGGAGCTGGTGATGGAGAGGGAGACCTGATGTGCTATAGTCCATGAGGTCTCAAAGAGTCAGACCCTACTGAGCAACTGAACTGAACTGAGTAGGACATACACTGTGAGGGAATATCAAATACCCTCATTTGCATATTGTTACAAAACAAAGTGTGAAACATGCTTATAGAATGTTATAGATTATAACCTCATATAAGAAAGAGGAGTGGAGATGCATGGATAATGTGGGCTCTTTGAAGACTTAACAGAAAATCCCTAATTGAAAGGACAAACCACATCTGGGCAATGCAGATACTATATGAATCCATACCTACACTGAAATAGTACTGCTTCCTGTCTCATGAGAGGAAGGAACTAGGAAAATTATTTCCACAATAACCTCTATGTCATACAAAACTAAGCAAGTTTGATTTGAGACCAAGGGGAGCTTCCAGGGTTAACTTTCTGACTATTGATCACTCTGTCTAAAATAGCTTTCCATTTGGTTCCTTGGACTGTTAGAATCTGTCAGGTTTGAAAGTCTATACCTAAACTGATTTACCAGTCCTGCTTTCATTTAGGATATAGAAAGCCATAAGAGAAAGCTGTGCCCATCTGAATAGGGTGAGAGGAAAAGCAAGATAAACTACAAAATCGTAACTTTCTTGAGCCCATTAGGGAACTGAGGTTATATCTAAGCTTTAGAATTATGTCTATAATTATATGTCTATAATTGTTTATATATGTTTATATGTATGTTTATAATTAGAGCTCAAAGGAGAAAAAAATATGAAGTAGAAGATATAGTTACAAATAACTGTATCTAGAAGTTTTCAAAATTAATTAAAGACACAAACCACAAAACAGATAAGCTAAGAGAAACCCAGACAGGATAATTGCAATAGGTCAAAAAAAAAAGGGAAATAAAAATCTTTATGCACATAACACTCATACTGCTAAAACATCACATATATAGGATAACAGAAAAAGAATGGCAGCCAATATTCTGTAAGTCAGAAGATAATAGAATGATACCTTTAAAATTACTGAAAAAACAAAAACAAAATAAAAAAACCCATACTCGTTTATTTAAAATTCTACACCCAGCAAAAATATCTTTCAAAAACGAAGGAGATACACCCAGGAGAATGACTACTATCAAAAACACAGAAAATATCAGTTTATACTAAAAAGTTTATGTCTCTCAGCAACCTTAGTTTTAGTTGATTTGGGAGAGAAACAATACAAATTTAATACCATGAAAGTACATTTTAAATATGAACTAAAAATTAAAACATAAAAAGAAGAGTGATATCTTAAAATATCTTTAAAATATTCTTAAATCAGTTTTGGATATTTTTATGTTCTAAAATGTTAAGAATTGCTTCTTCAGATATTCCAAAAAGTATGATGTATTCAATACTATGGAATCAATTTATTTCTTATAGGAAAAGAGAATTCTTTTCTAATACTAAAATATGCCCAGATGATGAAACTGAAGTAAGAAGATACACAATGTACATTTTATAAACAAAGGATATCATAATAGTTTAGGATGTTTATGACATTAAATAAACTCAGTTTTACTAACCTTTGACCAGATTTTGTCTAGCTTTTAGGACAGCTCCAAGGTCACAGTCAGTAGTAGCATATGCATGAGGTATAGTACTTTTAGATTCAGTTAATCTCTTGGCAATAACCCTTCTAATGTTGCTAGCTGGGATTTCAGTGAATGTGCCCTGCAAAGAATGATAACGTGTCCATTAAATCATAAACAGAACTGAAAAAAACAAGCAAATAAACTGTATAACTGAAGTCTGATCTCAATGACCTAACTTAAAATAAAGTTTAATACAGGAAAGCCTGTGTGCCACAACAGAGAGCCCTTGAGCTGCAATGAAGACGCAGCGCAGCCAAAAGTGGCTGTCAGGAATAAAGACCGCACTTTCTTTATAAAAAAAAAAGGAAACAGACCAAATCATAAATAATCCCCTAATGGGTGTGCTTACTGAGATATTACCTATAAGCTTGTAAGTAGCTTTTGTTACAAACATCACTTCTTAAAACTCAAAGCAATCAATATATCAACAAAACAACTACAGGGAATTCTTACTTATTAAAATGGCATACATGAGAAAAAGATAATCCAAAATACTAGATAATCTCCCAAATTATTTCTATTTTGGTTTGTAATTAAGAATAAAACAAATCACATGAGATCTTATTTTCAATAAACTCATAAAGTATGAATGAGATAAGAAGGTCTTCCTATAACTTTACTGTTGCTTTTTAATTCTGTTCCTTGCACCTCTAACAAAAACATGATGGGCCTTAAATTATGGCTAATTCCTTTTTTGTCTGTCATTCTGGGGCAAGATTACAATCATTTAGGATAATAAAAAAAAGTCAAAAGTACAGCTGATTTTTTTTTTACAAATGCTTTCTAAGAGAATCAAACATTTTATGCTAGCAAAACACTTGATCAAATAAAATAAATAATGTTTATATACTGAAAGAATTTTAAAGTTTATCTGCCAAATTTGAATAACTTATTTTTTAAAGAAATAAGATCTGATTACTCATAAACTGTTGTGTATGTAGACATGAATCATTAACATACATTTCAAAAATCTGTTTCTCATGAAACTTGTACTGTTTCTAATTCTTTGACAATATTACATTTGAATATATTTCTCCATCAGAAAAGGCACTGTAGGTTTATTCTTTTCAGTGCCCATTCAACTTTAAACAAACATGATTATCCTGCATTTCTTCTGATGGGAAGCAAATGACATAAAAGGTACTAAGAAAGGGAGACAGAGAGGTAAAACGGAGTAATTTGAAAACAAAAAAGGGCATGTATCCAAGAGGGAGAGAACAATTAGCTATACAATTTCTACAGGTTTTTCACTGTAAGACTATCAACACTGTTAGGCAAAAATAAAACATATCCACAAAAGGGAGCTGGTGTCAGCTATTGGTAACTAGTAGCACACCCAAGGAAAAAAGACATGGAAAGTATCATTATTATAGGGCAGATACATGGCACATACACTGTGGAACTTGTGGCAAATTTAAATTGAATCATAATTCTATTTGGAAGTTAGCACTGTATAAACAAATTTTGTTTACAGAAATGTGCAAAACAGAGTGTTTCTGTCTTTATCACTTTGAGCTACTACTAGTAGCTCATAACAGACTAGTAAAAGAACCCATAAAACGTTAAGAGTAATGGTTCTTATTTTTTCTCTCAGTTAAATCTGAAAAATAAAAATCTATTCAGATGACATTACCTCTACATTAGGTTGTCCGGGAGTGGATACAGGAGGGATCATTGGCCGGGGATAAGATGGAGTGGCTGCAGCCTGTGGGGGCAAAGGCGCTGTGGGAGTGGTTGGCAGGGCTGGGGTGGGTCTGGGTTCAGTGATCTTGCCCGTCTGTTTCAACTGGACCAGTTTGAGAGCATCCCTGGAGATAAGAAGGGAGTTAGATAACCATGATTAGCAACCAGGACTGTAAGAATGTTCAGAAAATGGAGGCTACATGTGGAGGGAAGATAGAGGAAATGAGTATTTTTTTTGGGAGGGAGGTGTCTTTTGGCAGATGAGCAATTCATAAAGTAAGCCATACCCTCATTCTTGGTACTTGTGAAATAATTTTCACATAGCATTCAGAGAGTGTTAAGCTTATTGTACTTATGACTTTCATTAGGATATTTACTAAAGTATTGGTGCAAATTCGACTGTTTATGGCCAGGAAATCATACCACTTAAAATTATGCTCAAATGCTATCAGCACAATCTAATGTAATAAATCTAACCCATAAAAGCATTTAGAATGAAAAATAACTAAACGAGTAACAGATTTGCCTTTGTATTATTCTGCAAAATAAAGGTGTCTTTGTTTATTAAAAGGATATAATTAGACTACCATGTCAAGCCCTCAATCCATTCTAAGTTATAGTGGCATAAAGTCATGTATTTCCTTATACAAAACAGCTTTTTTGAAAAGTTTAATCTGACAATTCAAAAGTACTTAAAAATGTCTTACATTAAAAATGTTTTAAACCTAATTTTTTTAAAATAAAAAAGATTTTACATAGTCTAAAAATGAATTCAGGGTGACACAAATCCAAAGGCAAATTATATTTCTGAAATTTCTTAAATGCAGTTAGTGATCTGGTATTATCACATGGTAGGAAGAGTGTTAACTCTGAGAGAGCCCAATATTGCTGTTCCTGGTGTATACATCCCACATCATCTCTTCTGAGTGTAGCTGGGCCTGTGAACATGATGGACGTCACTCCCATGATTAGGTTGCCTTTGAGGACAAAGTGATGGATTTTTGTAGACATATCCATTAAGGTCCTAAATCAGTGACACTGAGTTAATCAAAAGGCAACCTATCCAAGGTTCAGACATATCAGGTAAATTCTTTAAAAGGAAGAGAAAATTCCTAAAAGAAATCTGAATGGAGAAAAATTCTTTTATTTGCCTTGGAGAAACAAATAGGCATTTAGGAACTGTCTATGGAGACGACCACATAGAAAAGATCTGAAGGAGGCCTCCAAGAGGTGATAGCAATCCCTGGACGAGAGCTAGCAAATAAACAAGGGTAACAGTTCTAATACCCAAGGACCTGAATTCTGCTAACAACCATGTGAGCCTGGAAGAGGGCTCCAACCTGCAGATGAGACCCTACTCCTGGCTGACACCTTGATTTCAGTCTTGTAAGACCATGGGTCAGAACCCCAGCCATGCTGGGCCAGGATTTCTGATCCACAGCACTGTCAGACAGTTAAGTAGGTGTTGTTTTAAACAGCTACTAAGTTTGTTGCAATTTGTCACGCAGCAATAGAAAAGTGACACAGATAGGAATGCTCCAGCCTGGGTGACATCACGGGAGGGATCTCCCGAAGTGTACATGCACATTTTTAAGGAAGGAGAGTCCATTCTTTTTATATCAGGTCCAGAAAGGGATACATGAACTTAACATTAAGTGCAAGTAACTTACTTGCTTCAAAGTTAAAGAGTTGACATTTAAGATAAGCAGTCAGACTGATAAAGAAATTTCAAATCATCCTCGACCTTTAGGTTAGGAAAGAGGGAATAAAAGTGGAAAAATGAGCCTCCTGTGTACGTAGTGTGGTTATGTTAATTACATAATCTTACACCACCCATGTGAGAGGATAGTACTCCCAATCTATAAATAAGTAAGTAGGTTCAAAGAGGTTATAGCCCAGGGAAATCTACTGTAATGGACTATGTGGGAGAGGAGTCTAAAAAAAACTAGATATGTGTATATGTCTAACTGATTGACCTTGGTGTACACCTGAAACTAACACAGTACTGTAAATCCACTATACTCCAATAAAAACTAAAACAAACAGCTTCCATTCCATTTCTAAGTCAGTACTTGTCAAGCACCTACTATTATCCTAGGTGTTGAAAACACATGGATGCGTCCCACCAAGAAGCGTTATTCTAAAGGAGAGTCACACGTTAATCAAGTAAACAAATGAATATATAGTAAGTGAAGAAAATAAAGCAGAGTAATGAGGCTGAAAGTCATGGGTGAGAGGAGGTGTTATTTTAAAACAGGGTGGTCAGGGAAGGCCTGAGGACATATTATTTCTGTGAAGGACATGAAGGAACAAGTCTCAAGAATAGCTGGGAAAAGCATGTGTCAAGGCAGAGAACAGCCAAGTGCATAGGCAGGGAAATTAGGGCTTCTAAGAACAAAGCCCAGTATAGAAGGAGTGCAACGAACACAGCGGAGAAGCTTTACAGAAAAAGCTGAAGAGGCAGGCAGCTAAGAGCTGCCAGGGCTGGGACCAAACCTTGGTAGGACCAACTCCAAAGCCTCTGTATTTTCTTCTACTTTTCTAATATCTATGCAGAGTATGTCAACTAAACTAAGGCAGAGTCAGAACAAATTTTTCTCATAAGAAAAGACTAGTCTAGAATGGAATAAGCCTACCTCAAACTGACAGCAATTCTGGGACTGAGGAGCCTGCTGGCTATAGGCCATAGGGTTGTAAAGAGTCAGACACGACTAGTGACTGAATATGCATGAGTGCTGGGACTGATGAAGAAATGTTTTTTATCTACCTCATCTATATATGGAGCTAAAAGTAGGACCTCCTGACAAAGGTCCTCCATCCGTCACATGAAATTAACAGGAACATAACTGGAGGCAATGCTGGTGCTCCAAGGTTGAGCCACACCATGGTGGTGATGACAGAAAGACTGAGTGTCCCAGGGAATGAGCTTATGTACTCTTAAGGCTTTTGACCACAAGCTTACTCCTGTTTAGAAGTTAACTTTTAATTTACCCTGATAGGTCAGTTGGTAAAGAATCTGCCTGCAATGCAGGAGACCCTGGTTCAATTCCTGGGTCAGGAAGATCCCCTGGAGAAGGGAAAGGCTACCCACTCCAGTATTCTGGCCTGGAGAATTCCAGACTGTATGGTCCATGGGGTCGCAAAGAGTCGGACACGACTAAACGACTTTCACTCACTTTAACTTATGCTATTTATAACCAGAAGCGCCATTTTTCCAGTTAATTGTGGCAATTTATATGTGAAATAAATGACTGCCCTATATTTGCTAGGGATATATGTCATGAACCAAAACTTTGGCCACACAGATAAAAGTGTGAGCACTGATACAAAAGAAGACCTTTTATTGATTTAAAAAAATGCCTTTAACAAAAGATATTTTGCTTTTAAGAGTTCTTACAAGTCAGTCTAACATTACTAGTCCCTTTTCATCACCTAAGGTAAGTAAATACGTCTCCCTAACAAAATCTATTATTAACCTGGGTTTTAAAGTTTAGCATCAGAATAGCACATACAAAACACACCGATTTTCTCATTCAGGGATCACTAGTGCACTCTCAGGAATCAGTTAAAAGCAAACAAAGCAACAATACAACAAAAAACATGAATACTTGAGGAAACTAAAAAAATCTAAAATAATGCCTAAATACATCTACTTAAAAAAAATGTTGGTCAGACTAAATAGATACACTTTTGTTTCACTATCAGCATAACTATTACTTACTATTTTTTCAAGAAAAGGCAGTTTAGGTTCATCTATAAGAGTCATTAATCATAAACGAGTAGCAGAAAATCAATTCTGGCCACAGGCTCACAGTAAACTTTTGTTGCTAATTTTATACTTATAAGCCTCATAAAGTATGAATGGTAATCACTGGTTAATAACAGCCAATAATTAAGTTTCTGTCATGCAGAGAATTACTTTAATGATTTCTGTCCATTAAATAATCAGTCTAAGCTTGAAGAATTAGGTGGACATTAAAAAAATTAAGAGAAAAACTGATATATCACCCACTTCTGCAGAAAGGCAGAGGAAGCTTTGGGCATTCATTTAGGGTAGAAACTTCTCTGCTTCTCTACCAGATCCCTTAATTCATCTGGGTGTGCTAAGAATTAGTTCTAAAAAGAAATATCAGAAAACATAAAACATGACTGTCATGCCTACTATACTGTATCTGTGACACTGTGACACGAATATAAGCATTAGCTACCACTATGATTTAAGACACAGATACACCAAAGAAGCCAGGCTGCAGGCCAAGACTAAGTGTGTTCTGCCTCCAACAGCATCCTTGGCACTTGTTTTCTTAAACTTATGTTACATGTATAGGCAAAGTCAAGTCTGTGCTTTTGCACAATATATATTCTGAGCAATATGTCTGCTTAATACAACATTAAAACTGCAACCATGACACTTTGATTTTCTTCATAAACGCAACGGATCAGAAGTAACTCCCTCTTTTCTCCTCTACTTGAATTTTCAGTTGACAAAGTAAGGAGAAAGGATGCCCCTCACTATTTCAATAATGTGTAATAAGGTATTTGGGGGGCAGCTTATGCCAAAGCCTGCAATTTCTCAGTCTTACCAGAAGATAACCTTTCTGTAGATGACATGAAGACAAAATTTTTTCCAAAGCGCACCTCAGTGTTTAACTCAAAACATAGGTATCTTTAGAGGTATACAAGCATACTTTAAGGATCCATTTTTCTCATAAAATCCTTTGTAATATGTCACAGTTTGAAGACTGAAGGTTTTGAGTCTCTTACGGTAGAGAGTTAAAGAATAAGGGCAGGCAAAGGATCAGGTAATAAGACAAAGATGGCAAAGATATCAAAAACATAACTCTGCAATAGTGCTTCCTTTAGGGTACCCAATAAGATAACACCATCCTATCCTCCTTAGGAAATGTCAGACCTACTATGATGACTTTCAACTTGGGTTTAAAAAAGATCTTTATTCATCATTTATATAATAAGCACACACGGAGAGAAGGGAAAGAGGAAGTAAACTCTACTTCTTTATCCCACTGCTCTCACACCACTGATCTGCCCTCTAAAAGTTCACTAATCACCAACTTCAAGAGCCTTTTCTCCATTCCTCCTTGACTTACATCCATCTCCTAGATACCCTCCCACACAGAAATCTGTGCCTTTTAAAATGTTTCCCAATTGATTATCTCAGTCATAACTTTATCACTTTATTATCAAACCTACATCTCTAGTCCCGAACTGTCTCTCGAGACGCATCTTCACCTCAATGACCCTGATATCTGCAATCTGGCTTGTCAGCACTGACAATAAACGTCAAACCAAACACATTATTCATCAGTCACTCCATCAAGACAAGTGGTTCCGCCAAACCCTTATTTCTATTTATGGGGCCAAGACATCGCCTGGCCCAGGATCCTAAGTACACTCCTTGAGTCATTGCTCTCCTGCTCCATTGTCTACAGACTTCTGGATTTTCTCCTTGTAATGCTGTCTCCATCATTGACATTCTCATCTGTGTTCAGGGACTCATTCTCTCCTACCTGGACCACTTTATGAGCCTATTAACTTATCTCCTTACCTCAAGTCTTCTTCTGCTCCAGTTTATCTTTCACAAATTTGCAAAATTGATTTTTCTATGGTACACCTATTATTACTTGGCATTTCATCAAGTCTTCAACATTTAATGAATTAATATAGACTCTTTATGTTCTTCAGATATACAGGTAAGTGTATCATGTTATAAAGAAAGCTGTTTTGACCCATTTTTACAGAGACTTTTTACTAAGGTATAGGTTGGTAGAAGATTAACAAAATTAACATACAAGTAGCAGATATTAAATAAGGATTGATGTGGGAAAAAACCTAGGCTTAACTACCTATCAGGATTCTTTAATTTTTAATGGTTAAGTGAAACTTGTTAGTTGTTTAACTAATGATTTACTGTTGACTCTCAGCCAGGGGTCAGAACAGCTGATTTCCAACTCATGTATGAGTATGGCACAAACTTCACATTATGTGCTTAAGAAACCAATCAGTAAGGCTGAAGTACAGATAACAGGATATCTGAGAATTAAAGCCATACAGCTTTCATTAAAAGAAATATCCATCAATAAACCACTTCAATGAAGAGTAAAATCATCCAATGAAAATAAAGAAAAGTCACCTGGTCAGGCATTGCCACTGAATAACTTAATAACTTTGCTCTATCTCAACTTGTAAAAATTTTAGCCAATATTACTGATCACTTCTTATCAATATTAGATAAACTGAGAAGAGTTTATTGCTTCAAAATGATAACTTAATTTGAAAATTTTATATTACTCTAATAGAAATGTGGCGTACACTACTATGGCAATTTCACATTAGTTCACATGCCTATTTGATTAATCCTTGTCTTCCCCACTAGACTAATTTTCAATAGAGCAGGTGCCATCTATTTCAATATATTATTGAAAGACACAAAACTTAAAATTAATTTAAGATATGATATAGTCCCAATAAAAATATCATAGTCTTCCTGCCCAACCGTGCCAGTGGGGCTAGATAAATTATTTAAAAACCATTGGGAAGAACATAAAGAAAAAAAACAAGAAAACTGGTTTATTGAAAAATAAGAGAAAAGATAGCACTATCAGATTTTGTTTTTCTGGGCTCCAAAATCACTGCAGATGGTGATTGCAGCCATGAAATTAAAAGACGCTTACTCCTTGGAAGGAAAGTTATGACCAACCTAGACAGCATATTAAAATGCAGAAATATTACTCTGTCAACAAAGGTCTGTCTAGTCAAGGCTATGGTTTTTCCAGTCATCATGTATGGAAGTGAGAGTTGGACATAAAGAAAGCTGAGCACCGAAGAATTGATGTTTTTGAACTGTGGTGTTGGAGAAGAGTCCTGAGAGTCCCTTGGACTGCAAGGAGATCCAACCAGTCCATCCTAAAGGAGATCAGTCCTGAGTGTTCATTGGAAGGACTGATGTTGAAGCTGAAACTCCAATACTTTGGCCACCTGATGTGAAGAACTGACTCACTGGAAAAGATCCCGATGCTAGGAAAGATTGAAGGCAGGAGGGAAAGGGGATGACAGAGGATGAGATGGTCAGATGGCATCATTGACTCAATGGACAGGAGTTTGAGCAAGCTCCGGGAGTTGGTGACGGACAGGGAAGCCTGGTGTGCTGCAGTCCTTGGGGGTCACAAAAAGTCAGACACAACTGAGCAACTGAACTGATCAGATTTTAAAGCTTACTGTAAAATATTTCTAATTAAGAGTCTGGTTCAAAAAAAAAAATGAGGTACTAATTCATGGATAGACTGATCAATGGAATAGAAAATCTAAAATGAGATGGAAATTGCTTTGATCATACACATGGGATTGCATCATTAGCTCGTATGAACTTAAAACAATGCAAAGATTCACCACTCTGCTCACTAATTTTCTCAATTTATCATCATTTCTAAGATTCTGGCTTAGCTATCAAATTAGAACTGTTTTTCAGTAATGCTGCAATTATTCAAAAAAACCCTTGATAAAATACAATTTTATGCTGACAAAAGCAATTAAAAGTACAAAAGAGCAGTGAATTTCCTTTTAAATCTTACACTGAATAAGTCCTTCTTTAAACACTTTCAAAAATAGATGATCATATAAATACTGGAACTGGGTATTACAAAAAGCACACACATACTCTTTAGTGAATATCCCTCGAGGGCCAGTGGCTGTGCCCTGGTTAGCATCCAGCGCGTGCTTTTCCAGAATATTTCGGGCAGCTGGACTTAAACGGAACCTAAGAAGAAAATATAAAATCAAAGGAACCAATTAACACTTACATTTGATTCTAAATGTCAACAGCTTTGATGATAATTAAGAAAATAAAAATGTATAATGAAGCTAAAACAACTCCTACAGACAGTGACAGTCAAATAAGTTAATCTGTACTAACCTGGTTTATTTTAGTAATAAGACATTTTCATACAAATTTAATTACTATTCTAAAATATGATAAGAAACTATATTGTTCCTTCATGTACATTTTATTATAGTAAGATATGTGTAAAATTTACCATTTGAAGCATTTTTAGGCATTTTTATTGAGTGGATTAAGTACAGTAACAACACTCTGCAGCCATCACCACCATCCATCTCCAAAACTTTACCATCCTCCCAAAATGAAACTGTACACCAATTAACAACTCCCCATTCCTTCCTCCCACCAGCCGCTGGCAACCATCACGGTACTCTCTGTCTTTACTAATTTGACTACTCTAGGTAACTCGTAAGTGAAATCATTCATTATTTGTCTTTTTGTGATTGGTTTATTTTACCTACATATCTTCAAGACTCATCCATATTATGTGTCAGCATTTCTTCCCTTGTTAATATTAACATTCCATTGTGTATATATATATGTGTGTGTACAATACACATGTATATTGAGCTCTAATACCTGTCAGAAATTCAAATGCAGGGTAGTTGGACATGAGTGTTAAAATTCTAATTCCATTTTATATCAGTTATACATTTGAAATTGGAATTCACATTACAGTAATTAGGATTCCATAAATAGGAACACAATATGAAGTTTGGTATACTGAATTCCATTCTGGAATCTTAAAACCTAACTCAGGAATTCAATGCAGACACTAAATATTTGCTTTGCTCTCCACAGGATGTATAGGGCCTTCACAGTACTTGGAATATTTAGGTATTCAATACTATTTGTCTGTGGAATAAACAATGATGGTAAAATAATCATTCCTAGATCTCAGTTTCCTAAGAGAAGAAAGGGAAGATCAGCAACTTCTTACTTAATCTACAAAGATGTTTTAAATAGGATAATGATTAAAATGTTTCAAAAGTTGCATAATCTTCAAAAAAAAAAAAAATTCAAATAAGTATCCCTTGTGGCTCAGATGGTAAAGAATTTGCCTGCAATGTAGGAGACCTGGGTTCAATCCCTGAGTTAGGAAGATTCCCTGGAAAAGGAAATGGCTACCCACTCCAGTATTCTTGCCTGGAGAATCCCATGGACAGAGTAGCCTGGTGGACTACAGTCCATGGTGTACGGAGTCGGACACGACTGAGAAATTAATACTTACCATGTTCACATTTAGATCAGAAAACAGATTTAAGAAAGTACCATTTTGTAGAAGGGAATGGCAACCCAGTTCAGTATTCTTGCCTGGAGAATTCCATGGACAGAGGAGCATGGCAGGCTATAGTCCATGGAGTCTCTAAGAGTTGGACATGACTGAGTGAATTTCACCGTCATTTATTCAAATAAACATACTCACTGCAGTTTTCCTGGTGCGTGTTCCTTCTTGACAGGGGTAGAAATCTGTGGTTCCGGTGAGGGGGGAGGCACTGATGGTTTTGCAGCTGGTGGTGGAGGACCTATATCTTTAGGAATTTCAACATGTTTCCAATCTTCTCCTTCTTCAACTAGCAAACCAATCAGTGAACCCAACCGTATATTTTTAGATCCTTCTGCCACCTATATTTAAAAAAGAAAATAATTGCAGAGAAAGACTCATGATTTCGTGAAGTAGTTTATTCTTTGGATAATTCTGTACCTGTTAGAAATCTCTCTTAAAATGAGCTAAAACCGATATCTGAGCTGGCCTACCTCCTCCCATCCACTCACCATGTTCCTTGCCTATGTTCCCTCACTTACCCCCTTCCTTCACCACGCTCCTCCTTCGTTACTAATGCTAACTCCTGAAATTAAAAAAAAAAAAAAAGAACAGAGAATCTCTCCTCTTTCTGACAGGCTTCAAATACGTAAGAGCTACCATTACCGTCTTCCTTTTGATGTCATTCAGTACAAATCTAAAATAAGAGTTGTAGTTACATATCTTAATTATTTGTCTTCCCCAATAGTTTCCACAATGGCTTAGGAATTCCAACACCTCATAAGGGATTAACTCCTTCAAATAAGTCATATGCACTAAAATTAAAGTAAATCTTTTCAGTAAACTTAGTCCCTGAAAAAAAAATGTCCCATTGTATGGATGGAATTGATTATTTACTTTGGTTAACAATAAGTGTGTGTGTGCATGTGTGCGCTTAGTCTCTCAGCTGAGCCCAACTCTCTGCGACCCCATGGACTGTAGCCCATCACGCTTCTCTGCCCATGGAATTTTCCAGGCCAGAATACTGGAGTGGGTTGCCATTCCCTTCTCCAGCGGATCTTCCCAACCCAGGGATCGAACCCAGGTCTCCTGCATTATAGGCAGATTCTTTATCATCTGAGCCACCAGGGAAGTCCATAATAAGTGTCCTTTCCATATTTCTCTTTCCCTTGTATGTACAATTACAAAAGCAAAGACATAAAGTAAAACCTCATGGATTTTCTAAGTGTATGAGAAACATGGTAATATCTTAGCTAACCATTCTTTCATAGATAACGTCAATTAAATGCATAAATAAAGACAAGATGCTTTTTTAATGCAAATATTTTAAGCATTGTGGCAGGATTAATTTATAAAGAAAAGGTTGATTCTTATTTAATTATTAAAAGAAGTCCCAAAGAACCTTCAGATGATATTATATGTTCAGTACTGGAAGAAAATGTCATTCCTTTAAAATGTTCTATTATTCTCTTTCAATTACTTTAAATAAGATTCATTAGAGACATACTTTAATGAATAATATTTGATTAATTATTAATATTAATATTAATTAATATAATATACTGTAGGATGTTCACTAATATAGTAATTATAAATAAAAGTGTAACAGAATGGGGTTGACATTTCTAAGTAACACTAATTTTCAGGCTCATTAGTATATGCACTATTAAAATAATAAGTTTTGAGAGTTAGGAAGCTTCCTAAACTTACTAATTACTGATGGAGCAAAATACATATAAAAAACTGGTATATAAAACTAAATAAAGATGTTTAATAAACAGCAGCTGAGGAAAAATGATAAACAATCTAAGAACAATTTGTTTGTCATGTACTAAAAAGTTTTACTTCTTTGGACTGCTTATTTTTTTAAACTATGTCAAAAAGATGAGTTAAGATTATTAATAGGTTAACATTTTTTCTTCTTTTAAAAATGTCTATTTGCTTGCTTATGAACTGCTAACTCAAAATCACAAAGTAAAATGACCAATTTTCTTAAAATATTGATAGAAGGAAATATTAAGTGATATGAAGTCCATCTGATGTTCATTCCTATCAAAACTGAACCTGCAACAGGATCAATAGTCAAGTTCAAAAAACACCACTCAAATAAAAAGCATATTTAAAAAAAGGGAAGGTTTATCCTAGAGATATCAACAGGTTTCTGAAATCAGATATCATACTGAATCTGAAACTGACACCTCACCTTCTGCTTCATTTATTGCAATAAATCATATAAATGATTCTGTATATACCCTACCAATTTATATCTTCAGAAGTGGGCAATAATGAGCATTTAGTATCATTTTTCTTTTCACCATTTCTAAGTATTAAGTAAATTTTATTTTTAACTACTCATATTTTTCCATTAAAAAAGGACATGATGGAACATGAAACCCAAATGCAACGAACAATGGTATACTACCACATAACTTGAATATACTAATAGAAGGTAAAATAAAACAATGTCTATTATAGTTCCATTTAAAGCCACACTAAAGTCACTTAAAGACCTTAAACTTAAAAGATCTTCAACTTAAAACTTAAAGATCACTTCTCCTTTTCTATCCCCTTAGTGCAGTAAGAGATCTTTTAGAGGCGTGCTAGTTTCCTGTAGAGATTTGCTGGCGTTGTAGTCAGCAAATATTTAAAATTGATGAAGACTCAGTAACAAAAGAATAAATTATGCTCTCTTCAAAGCTGTGTTGAGAAACCAAACGCGTCTCTGTTACTGCTCCCCGAGTTAGGGCTGTGGATGTGCTCTGCTCTGTGAGAGAATCTGGAGTTTAATGACACCTCAGAGGCCCAGGTCTTTTCCCAGGCACTGACTTCCTTGATCAAAACTCTCTCCTACGCTTGTGTCACTGATTTCTTCATACTAAAAGAAAGAGTTTTACACTTGGTTCTGCTAAAACAGCTCAATAAAGCTCAAACATTGGCTCTAGAGTCTGTCATTAAATTAATAGGCTCCCCTCCCAATTTTTCACAGGTTCCTTGGGTTTCAATGCTGGCTCTGCTACTGACTAGTTATGTGACCTTGGTGAGGTTTATCTTACCCTGCCTGCTTCTTCATCTGTAAAATGGAAATAATAATAGTAACTACTTCAGAGTTATTATATGAAGTAAATGAGTTATATATAAGACACTTAGAATAGTACTAGACATCTAGGAAATGCTACATAGATGGGAAAGATTACAGTGATGTTTTTCTCCAAGTTATTTTTTTTTGTATAGCATATATATATATATGTATGTATTTAAATTCATACCTTATGTACATATAGATGGACATGTTTATTTATTTCTCTCCATTTTTTTTTCAACTTATTGCCCTCAAGGTCTATCTGTGTTGTTACAAATGGCAAGATTTCATTCTTTTTTAATGGCCAAATAGTATTCCATTGTGTATTTATACTCCAGTTTCTTTATCCATTCACTCATTGATGGACACTTAAGTAGTTTCTGTATCTTGGCTGTTGTAAGTAATCCTGGAGGAAACATGGGAGTGCAGATATCTTTTTGAGTTAGTGTTTTCTTTTTCTTTGGGTAAAGATCAGAAGTGGAATTGCTGGATCACATGATAGTTCTATTTTAAAATTTTAGGAACCTCCATACTGCTTCCCACAGTGGCTGTACCACCAAGAGTTTATACTCCCACCAACAGTATACAGGAGTTTCCTTTTCTCCACATCCTCACCAATACTTGTTTCTTATCCTTTTGATAACAGCTATTCTAACAGTTGTGAGGTAATACCTCATTGTGATTAGGTTTGCATTTCTCTGATGATTAATGATGTTGAGCATCTTTTCATGTTAACTGTTGGCTGTCTGCATGTCTTCATTGCTTGCTTTTTTTTTTTCTATTGAGTTGTATGACTTCTTTATGTATTTTGGATATCAGCCCCTTATCAGATACATGCCTTACATATATTCTCTCCCATTTTGTGGGCTGCCTTTGCATTTTGCTGCTGGTTTTCTTTGCTGTAGAGAGCTTTCTGTTTGACGTAGCCCCACTTGTTCATTTTTGCTTTTGTCGCTTTCACTTTTTTGCGTCAAAAAATCATAGCTGAGACCTATGTTAAGGACCTTACCAAGTTAGGGTTAGGGTTATTTTAAAACAAAAAATATACTCAACATGGATCAAGCAGGAACTACAAGGAAGTGCCCCTCATTGCTAAAGGTTGGAAATTCATACAAAAAGGCCCAGCCATGAGGCTGGCCGCACTAGAGTGTAAACAGCAGCATGCGAGACACCGAGGTGGTGATATGTATTTCTCGATAAACACACACATACATAGAGTCTGAATTTCATCCCTAGGCCCAGACTCCTAGTATGAGTTCTCTTTATCAGAGACACCCCCACAAGCTGAAATGTATTATCTGCAAAAGTGTTAAAAGACAGCCCCTCTGGTAAGCTCACCAGTATACCCAAGGATATGAGATACTGAAGACACAAAATATCTACAGAAGTACTTGCCAGGAGAGAAATTGTTTGAGGGGGTTCATGCCATTAAAGGTGCTCATAAGTACTGCCTGTTTTGATTCTGACATTAAAAAATAATCAGTAAGTTAAGAAATTATTTAAATAGTTTTCTTCTTTAAAACAGAACAGCTTGAAAGTTGCTAAGTGAGGACTGAAGGACCACACACAATGGTTAGTAGAAATGAGCCGAGTCACATGACTGACTTAAAAGCTGGTTTAAAACCAGTCCAGATTTTCCCATCATAGTTTGAACCATTATACAGTTTGAAATTTTTGTTCTTTAATATATATATTTAACTTAAATGCATAATGAAGAGTGGTTTAAAAGGAAGATATGTAAGAAACAATGAAGCAGAAAACAAATCAATGACAATCTAAGATGCAGAGTGGAGAAGAAACACTTAAGTCCTTGAATACCAGTTTGCCTGGCACTCAAGCTGGGCACTGTTCTTGCACAGTATTAACTCATTTAATTCTCTTAAAAACCTTTTGAAGTGCTATTATTATTCCCACATATAGATAAGGAAACTGAGGCTGAGAAGGAAAGGCTAAATAACTTGCTCAAGATCAAAGGGCTAGTAAGTCAGGAGTCAAATGCAGTGTGACAATAGAGACAACATTCAATATGATCAATGCCGTGTCTGTAAATTATATTCACATAATCAAAACGATCACATAGCACCTCAAGACAGTGCTATTTTTACAAGGAAGCTTAAAAAAGAAGAGTAGATGATAAATGATTTAGTTTTTAGTTCATGGGAAACACAGACTCATTTACTACTTTAATGTCATTTATCCATTTCAATATTAAAAAATTTAGAACTGAGACTATTTCCCATTTATTAGAATTTTCTCTGAGCTTTGAGAGGGTATTTTCTCAAT